CTGCAGCTGCCAATGTCGGAAAGTGAGTTATTTTGCTCGTTCTAACAATTCTAGCGAAGTATTTATAGCTTCCATCTTCTGTGAATATCAAATTTCTGTTTTAACTTGTTATAACCCCAAATGCATGATTATGCTGAGGCAACTGCTGTTTTTCGACTTGTTATAATTTTTGCTAGAAATTAGAATATTATTTTGTACAGATGTCTGTTTATTTTGCTTGTTAATTTTCTGTTGGAAAAATTTCTTTTTAAACCTGCGCGTCCCCGTCTCTAGATCCTTTCGTACAGCTATGCCGAACTCCCCTCTCACATCTCCCACACCTTCACTACTCACCATGCTCTTCACTCCACATGCTTACCTGATCCTCCTACCGCATTGCTTATGAAGAGAAATTGAAGGTGAATTTTGACTAGATTAAAAGTCGAATTTTCATTTATTTGAAGTTTCTATGTTGATGTAAATGTTGAGATGTTCAACACTTGTCAAATAATTAATTAGTATAATCATTCTTTTAATTCTCTTTTTTGTGCGTGACCCATTATGTCTTCGATCACGATGTCTAACGACGTGAACTATTATCTTGATTTAATCAAAATAAGATAAATTATAACACTTTTAATTTATCATTAATTCACATAGATTAATTGATTCACATTCATTATTTCAGATTGACATCTAGCAATATGTCACGACAATTGACGAGAAATGTAATAAAAATTGTTCGTTTACGTAAAATTATAATGTTTTCGTAATATGATTTGATCAATTATGAGATATGGAAGCGTGCTAATCTCATTTATTAATAATATCTTTCATCATACTTTTAAGTCAATATAAGTCCAAAACACTCTTTTAACCTACAAGCACGCATTAGTCAAGAATTTCGTTATTAATTTAATTGAATGAAATGTAAATCACAGTCCCTAATTATTTAAGAGTGACAAATCCTCTATTAATCATTCACAATTTTCATATGATTTTTAACAGACCCGAACGATGTCGTATTAATGACTCTTTTTAAAAGCAACATCCAATATTACCAAAATATATTTGTCCTCATACAAGACGCTATGATGCTCTTAAGTCAAATAACCAATTTCACTACCGAACGTTAGAGATTAACCATTGAAACTCAAATAGTTATCCATGTGTTATTTCTCCAACAGGTTTCCAAAGTTTTGTTCTTATAACAAAATATACACGTGTTCATTAAAATATCACTACATTTTAATTTGTGAGATCAACTACTCATTTCATAAGTAAAAAATGTCACATATGCTACTCTATTCGTAAGAATGATATCTGCATCTCATTATTACTTATAACCACATATAATTTAAAATTCAGTCATGTGTAATTTGCTTGTCATAATAATAACTCATTGTGATTAACAAGCTATCAAAATTGAATCTGCGGACTCTATTAATTTAGAGCTTGTTTGGTAGGGATTTTTGGAGGAAGAATTGATTTTTGAATAGTGATATGATGAGAAATGTGTGGTTGAAAAAGAAGATAAAATTGTTGATGTGATGAAAAATATTATTTNAGTGATATGATGGGAAATGTGTGGTTGAAAAAAAAGAAAAAATTATTGATGTGATGGAAAATATTATTTTATTGAAGAATGTGTGGTTGAAAATGAGAATTGATTTAAGAATCAATTCTCAAATAAAAAACAAACACTCCCTTAATTTGTCAGAATATTAATTCAATTAAACAATAAATTTACTATAAATAATAATGTATTAATAATATGTTCACGACCTAGGCGCATAAATACTTACAAGAGCAACACTTTTTGTTGTACATGCATGAATTTAATGTCATCAATTTTTTCAGCTTTTCATGTTATGAAGTCGTTGGAATGACAAACTCATTAGATCCAGACTTTGTCCAACTACATCACTTAGTTTTGCTTAGTCGAACTAATCTTTAATCTATACACACAATTATATAATATAATATAAATATTAAATTATTGAAAATCCAAAACGTAGGCGAGTCTGTCCGTAAATGATGAGGTCATGAACCACGTGAACTAACAACGTATGCAACAAAAAGAAAACAAAAGTGAGAGAAAATGGCTTTAACCATGTGTTTGACAAGGCAGAGGCAGCAACTGAAAAAAATTGCGCATGTAAAATAAGGAAATGAGGGTAAAATTGAAAATTTGGTTTTTATTATGATCTTTTATCGAGACAAAATCATCATCGTGTGGACCACCTTGATTTGACATGAAAATGCATTCTCCATAACTAGAGGCGAACCCAAGAAATTTTTTCAGTGCGGACGATGTTTGCAAAAAAAAAAATAAAATTATAACACAA